GGGAGGAGCGAACAGCGCGGGCGGGGGCAGCCCTGTGGATGGCAGCGGCAGCACGAGCGGCGCGGAGGACTCGTTTGGCATGATCGGCATGGGCGGGAGCATGAACATCCTCGGAAAGCCCATGGCCACCAACAACTTTGTCACGAAGCTGTACCAGTAAGTCTCTCTCCTCTCTCTCTCTTTTCCTCCTCTTTTCCTTCCGTTTCTCCCATTTCCTACCCATACCCCTTTCTTTCTTTCTTCCTCCGTCAATGCACCGGCACACCCCTCAAGCTCAATCAACACGCACAACAACAACTCATCATCACCCATCGAACACCCGATCATGATCACCCCTATGCCTGCGCCTCGACCCAGGATCACACCTCACCCACCAAGCTCATACCTCACACCATCTGCAACTGCCCAGCAAGCTCCAAGCTCTCGCCTCAGTACACCAGCCCATCCATCGAGGACGCTTTTACTTTCAGAGACGCACGGCTATCAATCCATGCGCGAGATGTGATGCCTCGTGTTATGCCTCCTGCGCTGGTGCAGCTTGCGCTTGTGTTGCACTGCTATCGTCGTGGCGAGCGAGCCGAGTACGGGCCTTCTCTGTATTGGATAACGGATTGGCTAGTGTGCACGATCCACCTAGGAGAGAGCGGGTGTGTCAACGTCTCCTTCCTTCTAGAACGCCGACCTTCTCTGACGCTTCACCTCCTTCCTTTTCCTGCCCTTTCCGCGCCGTCGCCCCTCTTCCAGTCAGTTATTCGTATGGGTGTTCGATGTTCGAGAAGGACCGCCAGTGCATGCCGCCGCCGCCGTCGTGTCGTGGAGAAATTGAATTGGGATTCGCATCCGCCGACGGAGGACGTGGAACCATTGGACGGCCGGCGCTGGTGTCGTATGCGTGTATGCGTGTATGAAGGCACGAGGGCATGTAGCGCGAAGATCGTACGTGTTGCGTGGAGCGCTGAGGTGTGTCCACGATGCACCATTTGGCGACGTTGCGTGCAGCGTGCTGCTCCATGTTGGTCAACGAGGATTGGTCAAGCAAGGTCAAGGCGTTACTCGGCGTACCTCGCCTCATCGCCTCCTCTTCCTCGACTTGAAGCTTGGAGCTCGATGCTTGGCACTGTCATCATCACTCCTGTCCTCTCTTGCACGTCCAGCTTCGTCATGGCCCTTCCTCGTCTACGTCTTTGTCGTTCGATCATCCCTCCTCCGCCGACCGTCGGAGCAGGGTCATGCTACACGCTCTTGTGACCCCGCCCCAGTCGTAACGATCGCACCATCCCGTCGCATTGTGTGGGTGCAGGTATTGGCGTCCCCGTCGCGTTGCCTACATGATATCATCTCCTCCGTTGCGTGTTGCGCCACATACCGACCCCGACCCCGACCCCGACCCTGATGCCGACTTGATTCAACTCCACTCCGGCCGCCTATGCAACCCAGCCAACCAACCACCCGCGCAACCAACTATCTGCAACATCTGCAACCCAATCATCCATCTGCAACCCATTCCTCCATCTGCGGCCCAACCATCCATCTGCGACCCATTCCTCCATCTGCGGCCCGACCCAGTCAATCAACCAAATACGCAGATACGCAGATATGGTGGGTGGCGTGCCATTTCCGCCGCCGTTGCTACTGGCTCTGGCTCTGGATATTATGACATGCAGCTTTGACGCAACTGGGTGCCATCGTGACGAAGGCGCGGGCAGGCAGGCACCGACCGCTGATCGACGACGATCGGCGGCGCACGCGACAGTCGCGAGTTAATGGTGGCGATCCGTATTGGGCACGCACGCGGGGATGATCGTCGGTCGAGTGTGGCGCATTGCGTTGCGGCATGCGGCATACGACATGTGGCATGTTGTATGTTAGCAGGAGGGACGCGGACGAAGACGAGGACGAAGAAGGAAGGTGGAGCGAGCGAGCGAGCTTGGACCGAGATGGATTAGGGCGGGGCGGGGGGCGAAACCCGACGACGACGACGACGAAGTAAGGAACGAGGAACGTCCAGGACCAGGAGCAAGGCACCGAAGGCGATCCTCGACGCGAGGTGGAGCCGGCGGGTACTCGAGGCGCCATCTCGCCTCGCCTGCCTGCAAGCTCTCAGGCTATATATACGGTACGGCACAGTGCGGACGGGAACAAACCCACCCTCCGCATTTGCATTTGCATCCGTATCCGCATTCTGAGCCCGAACTTGCTCGAGCCTGCAGTCTGCATTGTCTCGCTTGTGCCCAAGGGGTTTCCCATGTCTCCTCAGCCTCAAGACCCATTTACCCGCCTATATGCACCGAGGAGGCGCAGGCGCGTCAAGGTTCAGAGTTTCGAGTTTCAAACTTCGAGGGGCGATTGATTGGGTGGATTAAGCTCATTAGGCTCGTCCTTGGTCCCGTCTGCCGCCTGCTCTGCCGTCTGTTCTGCGTCCGACCGATGAGGTGCCGGGTGGCCGTTATATGGGGGAGGGGGGGTGGAGTGGGATGCGTTTGGGGTGGGTGTGGGCGTCCGTATTGGCAGCAGGAGAAGGGGACAAAGGAGAAGACGGGGGATAAGATATAGACCTGAGGAAGGCAGACTACACCGCCTCCAGGTTTGTTCGGCCATCGAGGAAGAGGGAAAGGGAGATTCGTAATTCGCCCCTCGAGGCGAGAGGGTCAAGGCTCGACTTTCTTCCACTGCGGCCCTTTCCCTTCCCTTCCCTTCCGTACCATATCTCCTTCAAGTTTTTCCTTGCATGCCCTTTCCCTTCCCCAAAGACACTTCCCACCGCCGTCCAATCAATCTGCGGCTTCTAACCCCTTCGACCTTCGACCTCGTCGCCCATCGCCCGGAGATGACTTGCCCATTCCTTCGCTCGCTTGCCTTCATGTCTTCACGTTCCCTCCCCTGGCCAATCTCCTTTCGCCAATCTCCTTTCTCCTTCTCCTTCTCCTTCCCAAGCCCTGTCTTCCTCCGTGTTTTACCTCAGCGTTCCGTGTTTTACCTCAACGTTCGACGTTCGGACACGGCCACGGAACTTATGTGGGGTCGAGGCTCGAGGCAGACTCGCGTCTTCATTGGCCAGTCCGTTGGCTTGAGACGCGACGGAGCTTTTGCGTTTCGGTTTTTGAGGCTTGCCGTTTAAACAAGCACGCCTACGATTGGCCATTGGCCATTGGGTCCGTTCTGTCGTCGTTTCCATGGAGATGATGTGAAGTGGGAGTTTTTGGGCTTTGAGTTGAGCCTTGAGGCGGTGGGGTGGGGGGAGAGTCTCGGGCTTTGATATATGCGTGTTTCTTTTTCTCCTTTTCTCTTTCTCTCTCTACTGCTCTTTCATCTTGGCCCTACAACGAATTTCCTAACGGTGCAAAAAATGGATGTTAACGCTTACATTTTTCTCCTCTCTCTAGGATGATCAATGACCCCAAATCGGCGCAATTCATCGCATGGACGGAGCTCGGCACCTCATTCGTCGTCTCGAACGTCGGCGAATTCAGCAGGAGCATATTGGGGTCACATTTCAAGCATAACAACGTATGTGTCTTCTCCATTCACTCTGAGAGCTCTCGTGGCTGACTCGTGAGATGGTGGCGTTTTGTAGTTCTCGAGCTTCGTACGGCAGCTGAATATGTATGGCTTTCATAAAATCAACCGGGTACGTATGGACTTTTTTTTTTTTTGGCAGTATCTTTTGAGAATATGACGAGTTGATGACGTATTCGCGTATTGTAGACACCCAGGGCCCAACGGACGTCAACCGACGCGCAGACATGGGAGTTTTCGCATCACAAGTTCCTGCGTGGCCGTCCGGATCTGCTAGATGAGATTAAGCGGAAGGCGCTCGAGCCTGACCCGGGGATGAAGCATCGGGTTGAACTGCCTGGAGAAGTGAGTGTCTGGTCCTTCGCTCGCTGGGGCCCTTTCTCTCTTTTTTTGCCGCGTTGTTTAGAAAGTCTTCCGGATGCTTACTGACCACCTCTAACTGGTCCAGGTTGCTGCTCAACTGAACGCTATGCGGGATGAGAACAGGCGGGTATGGGATCAGCTGAACGCTGAGAGGAGGAAGGTGGAGAAGCTGGTCAATGTTGTTGGTCGGTTGTGGGATGTGGTGGGCAAGGGCTTCCCTGGAAGTGGTCAGTGTCTTTCTTTCGGCTTTAGATGTGGCGGGCCTTGATTTTTTGCTCAATTCCTCTCCACCCCCTTCCTTGCTTGTCCTCCCCGCCTATCTTACCATCCCTTCTGGCCGGGATTTTGAACATTCAGTACCCCAATTCCCTCAAGAGCTGCTCGAGTCCTCAGAGAGCCCAAACATCTACATCACGTCACCCACCGCGACATCGCGCTTCCCACCACCGCTCTCGATGAACTTGCACGCGATCCATAACTTGAACAGCCCGAGCTCAAGTCCAACGACCGCCGACTTCCCGTCACATTCGCACCACCAGCACCCGCATTCATTATCGCGGCAGCACTCCTTCCAGCACGTCGCTGGAAGCAACTATCGTGGCGAGTCGACGAGCTCAACGCCACTGCCCTCGTCGCCGGGCTCGGGCTCGATTTCCATGGACATGTTCGACGACGGCTCGTGCGACCCTCCGCCGCCTTCAGGTCGGAACAGCGCCAAGCGTCAGCGGTTAGACGACTCGAGCCTCGGGATCAACGTCAACATGGGCAGTATGGGCGGCGTCAACGTGAACGGCGACTCGATGAGCATGATGTCGTCTGTCTCGTCACCTGGCTCGGGCCCAGGCGGCGGCCTCGCGAACCTGACGGTGCCGAAGAAGTCCAGTCGCGCACGGAGTGATAGCGCCCCGATGGGATACGCGCATGTCAGTAGTGGGCTCGGCTCGATGGCCTCCTGGTCGCAGCCGAATGGGATTGGCAGTGGAGGCGTTGTGGGCCGCCCGAGGAGCGGTAGTGGTATGATGCCGAGGGGGATCCCCAACATCGGGACGATGACGAGGAACAGCAACGCGAGCACACCGCTGTTGTCGATCACGACTGCTGAGTCCGACTTGAACAGTCGGTGATATGAGCAGTTGGCTTGGCCCTGGAGCGCGGACGGGGGTGGTCAGGTGGATGGGAGAAGGATGAGTTGAAGGGGATGGTATGGTGGGCGGTGGGTTCAGGGTGGTGGTGATGGTAGAGGGCAGATGGACGTCTTTTGAATGGGAGGCATTTGAGAGGCTGGTTAGATGGGTGGATGAAGCATCGACACCCCTAGACCAGTCTGACGTCGCCTGTCTTTGCTGCCTGGTTGCTCCCAATCAGCTGTCAATTTGTCGCCCTCCTTCCTGGATGCAACCTTCGAGCTGATTTCCACACCACCTCCCATGATCCTCCACTATTCACCCCCTTTCCTGGACTCATGAAACTCTTATCGCCTCCTCACCCACCCCTCGTCTTGCTTCTGGTCTGGGATCAACTATTAGCCTCCACGCCTCGACCTGCCCTTGCACCTATTGCCTTTACATCATCTTTCTTCCTCCACTTCCTTGTCTCCCTGCTCCTCGGAACACTAGAAAAAGACACATGATTCTCTCTGCTTTCTCTCCTCTTGTCCTGCTGTCTATGTACTTCATTCCTTTTTCTTTCCTCTCTCTTTCGTTTCGGACTCTCGCGGACCTTTCGACTTGCACTTTCCTTTGTTTCATTACTGCTTTTCTTTCCTTTCTGGACTGCCTGTCTGCGTCAACCTGCTTCGGACTTTCGGTCCTTACTCTCGAGTCCGTCACCGCCATCCTTTCTCGACACCGGTCTTTTTGTTCGTTTCGTTCGGTCTGTCGACGTCCGCCGACTAACATCTCAAAAGACAAACGCCCGCGGTTCACAACCGTACTGTCGTTCATTCATTCATCGAGTCACCCTATAGAAGACGAGGCTACAAAACACCCCCCAAAAGCTGTTCATTTGCTGTTTCTTTTTGTGTACGATATCGAACTGTTCTTTCTCCTTTCTCCTTTCTCCTGGTCTTTCCCTTCTATTTCTGTCCTCGCCGTTGTTGCTTTCATCCGCCCATTCACCCGTCCATCTACCCCGCCTACCCCACCATCTGACACCCGCACCTCTCCGTCTTTTTTATTCGTCCTTCGCAAGCAACGCATCCATCTGTTCATCCATCCATCCATCATTATACCTCGTCGCCTCGTTACCCCGTCTGCTTCGCACTCACAATACACTGTAGCCTTTCTGCTTTTTTCTTTCGCCTTTGCTTTGGCCTTTTCGTTTTTCTGCCCTTTCTTGTATACTTTCGGCGCTCCTTCCAACCCTTCTTCAGTGACGAGGCATGCTGTTCTTTTCTTCGCCATTTTTTCACGGCTGTAGTCGTTGGCACCGTCGACGCCGATGGACGGAAGAGGCTGCAGTTGTTCCTCGTCTCCAAATTTTTGGAATTGCTTTGTTTTTCCTCCTCTGCTCTGTGCCATAGAAAAAAACTTGTACAATAGCTACAATTCCCCTGGCAACTGCAAATATATACCACAATGGACAATCACTTATTCTTGCCCGCTGTATTTTCGGTGCAGTAGCAGTTGTGAGAATCCGCAGCTCTAAACTTTGACGATCTGGGAAGTCAGAAGTACGATGCTGTGAAGATCAAGAGGCACAAGCTCTAGTGTGGGTGTCACCTTGGATTGAACCTCTCAAACCCAATCTGGCCGCAATCTATCCTTTCCCGGCCTGCTATAATTTGGTCCTGCTTGAATTTGTGGACATCGCTCTCCTGGATTGTCGTGACATTTCACTGCTTCTTATTCAGCTTTGCCCACTCTTCTCGTTCTTCGAATTTGCCCTGCTAGACCCTGCACTTCGAGGAAATTGGCGCTGGGTGCTTAGCGGCCCGAGCATTCGGCGCGCACCGTATCTAATCTCGGCATGTTGCTGACCTGAACTTTGGTTACCATCTCGGCAGCAGGCCCGAGTCCATCAAAACGATGGCCATTCATCAAAGCTGTCTGAGTTTGGGCTATCAAGAGACTCACACTCACTTCTGAGGTTCTGTGCTTGTTCTTGTTCCCGTGGGTTGTCAGAATCGGGTTGGGCTGTCACCAATTGGCATTCCTACGCTCTTCTGCCCTTGTTCGCGTTGAATATCAGCAGGAAGAGGGGACGGGGCCTATCAGCATGCGACGGACGACTTCTGGAGATCCTTCCAACACTTCATTTTAGCTCCGAATGCGGATGTGGGCAACATGATTAAGATTCTTGGGCTCACGAGGCAAATGTGACGACCGCCTTTCTTTCTTTCCTTCTCCCAACATCTACGCACCGCGGTGCTTCCACCTCTGGCCGTCTTTCTGGCTTTCGTTTTGGCTCCTCTCGCCTCATCTGGCTTCCTGGATGCTGAGCGGTCAGCATTCAGGTCGACCAATCCCTTTCGTTCTGGCTTGCTTCTTTCACCGTACCGTCCTTCTCGCTCTCGTACTCCTACAACTCGTCTTTATCGCGGCGGCTCAAGACCGACTTAATCTATCTATCCCTTTAAATTCGACTCAGATTGTGTACACTCCTTTCCTCTGCAATGCGACGGAAGTCTTGCTCAATCCACAAACATGTGCTGGCGCGTGGTGAGCATCTGGCCCTCTCTTCTCAACCAGCGCGATTTGTCAACGGATTTCGCGTCAAGGCAAATCTCTAATCTTTCCGATGGGTCAATATCATCCGTCTCAACAACTGGACCTTCATCGGCGTCAGGAAACATTATTCCTCAGATTTTTTTCCCGTTTCGCGGTACGACTCCCTTCGTCACCCCTGCCGTCATCATGAGAGGGATCTAACTTTCTTCCATTAGCTTCTGGCCTCTTCCTTACAACCCTGCCCACTTCGAACGCAACCGTCAATATCACTATCTCCGCATCCGGGACAGCAGTCTCCACTATCTTCGAGTCGGGCACCGGATCGGCCACCATCGTCAACCTTCCTGAGAGCGAAGTAGCTCTCCTAACCATCACCTTCATTCCGTCAGGCTCACCGACAATCCTCGAGCTGGAGTTTCTTCAGATAAATGTCCTTGCTAATGTGTGCGTTGAGGCGGCTATATTACATCATTCGCCTTTTGAATTGGACTCATCCACTCGCTTTTCGTTTCAGATCCATCACGTCCATTCTGCCTTCGGCGACTCTTCCGCCATCGGCGTCTTTACCTTCTTTTATATTGCCGAGCCCAACGGCTTCCGCCAGCTCTACGCCCACTCCGACGTCGAGACCTTCTAAACAGCGGATGATAGCACAGGCAGTTGGGATTACTGTCGGACTTGGAGTGGGGTTAACAGCTGTGGCTACGCTTGCGTTTTACTGGTGGAGGAGACGACGGAGAAAGCAACGACGGAAGACCGCGCATATGGGCGAAGAGGTAAAATCCGAATGGAGCGAGGCAAGACCCGGACATTAGGACACTTGTGACGCGGTGAAGAGCACGACTTGACCATATCTAGTCGCGCGTATCTTTATATTTATCACATTAATCAAAGTGTACCATAGTATCTTATCAACTTCCTTGATAATGGGAGATGGTGGACCTGATTGACCGCCACACTCCAAAGTTAGTCCTGATGTGACGTTCATGGGCTGTGTTGATATCGATTGTGCCCCTTCTAGTAGTTCTATAGCAGGCACTGATCATCTGCGAGGGAGAAGGGTGATGGTCAATGCATGTGTCTGGGAACTCTCCGATATTGACGGCGCTTAGGTTCGACCAGAGGCGTAGATATCGATCTCCTAGACTTGAAATGGCGGCTCTTGGATCCGGAATTCCTGCACATACCGAAGACTTCGAATGGCAAAGATATCACGACTCCTGCGAAATTCGACTCGTATATAGGCATACATAATAACAGTTGCAACAGCATAAAGGTCCCTAATTGCCCATCATACGCTAGTGGTTGCTTGAAGGACCCACCAAAGCGAGTCGAGCACCGGACATAAACAACCCCCAGGAGAAAAGGGCCCACGAGATTCCGTCGGATTTGTCATGGTGTTCATAGTGATCGTAGTGTTCATAGTGATCGTATGGATAGTCATAACCACCTCGAGCACCGTAGGATTGATAGGTAGCGAAATGACTGTCTTGGGGTGTATACCCTCGGTAGTGCATAGACTGGTACCTGGAGGCAAAGCTGTCTGTGTCGAGTAGTCAGGACACATCTGTCAAAGGGAGGTGTTATGAAGGCGTGAGATGACATACCTCTTCCTACCCCGCGTCTCCCGAAACCCAGGCACCGTAAGAAACACCCGAGAATGCCCTTTGGCAGGCTCCACACGAAGAACTTGAGGACACCCGTCGGAAGGGTCCACAAAACCGATCTAGCCACTCTAAACGGTACTTTGGGATAGTACGACCACAGAATGAGAGCAATTCCTGAGAGCACGTTATGTCGAACGACTGCAGGGATGTGGGGTTAGCATGGATAGGCAAGCTGGAGAATAAGCCAACAGCGTCTCTTACTTGCAGCTTCAGCAACTTCAAAGGTTTGATCAACCCATAGTTGAAGTTCATCGAGTTCAGGTTCATTCTTGAGTGGCATCGCAACATGTGATTCAAAGAGTTGAAGATGGTCAGGGCGACCGTCCAGTGGGTAGATGGTGAGATGGTGGTGGTTGGCTGTTAAGCGCCCGTTCCGTGTCACGGTCCAGTCATGCCCCAAACGGCCCCTGAATCTCGTGATGACTTACTTAGTAGTTCGTTTATCCAAAAGTACAGCTATTGCCAACTCATAGCTCTTAACAACAAATGTCCTGCGCGTCTACGACTCCTCTTCTACCGGATATGTATCAGGCTGTCACTCGCGGCCCCCTTTCAGAGCGCCAAATAAAACGAGGACACCGACCCAGAATAAGAGGATACTGAAACATCCCCAAAAGAACGGACAGCTGTCGTCATCCACCTCATCAGAGATCTCGGCGTACCCAACTGCGCCGTAGGACTGGTTGAAAGCGAAGAGACTATCTTCTGGGACATAGCCTCCGTAATGTCTCGATTGGTACCGGGAAGCGAAGCTGTCTATTCAGCGAGAATAGGTGAATATTCAACTTGGAATATCTCAAATGGGACCAAAGATGGCATACCTCTTTCAACACCGTCTTCTCCAAACCCCAGGCAGCGCAAGAACCCTTTGAAGATGGCTTCTGGGACACCCCAAAGCACCCACCAAATGATATAGAAGGGAACTTTCGGTTTTAGACTCCACGCAATGAGGGCGAAACCTGAGATAACGTTGTGCTCGATGACTGCAAACCAAGAGCCGTGGTCAATGTAGCCCGACATCGGATTCGCCGATCGGATAAGGAACGCCACCCACTTGTTGTCTGGTAAACGACGTCGAACAAGTGACATATCCATCTCTCAACCTCTGTCGCACCTGTGCTAATAGTGACTGGAGGCATTGAAGGGGTACAGATGGTGGTTCGAGTTTGGAGGCGTTGGCCATGAGGCCACCAGCTTAAATAAGCGCTCAAATGGCAACTACCGTGATTCCTGACTAAGTGATCCGTCGTGAGGCATGAGGCCAGTAGGTTAGACCCAAGAAAGTCTGGAATCTTGAAATATATTATTTGATCATCTTTTGGGAATCAGATTTCAAGCCTGGTTCTCTTGTTTGCAGGTTCTAAACAGTTAAAAGCCTCGCATTACGAAACTTGAATACATGCCATAAGGCAGTGGATCTCAACTAATAGCTAACGGTAAACATACCGGGTTGTCACATACCGCAACCCCACGAAGCGGTTAACTGTTCTGTAATGATTGAGCGATAAATAAAAAGAGTATGTGCGCCACACAAAGTCCACATTCTGATCTTGGCATTGTGATGCGGAAATGATTCCGCGTGATACAGCCACAAACAGATATATGAGTGCCCTTTTGAGTCAAGATGACTTTCAAACCAAAACTTACCAGTGATGCTCCCGGTGCTCGTCATCGGTGTCTGTTTACACGCTGGAATCTCCTTCTGTGATGCTTTTACAAATGTCCTTGAAATTGTTTTCGTGACCCCAAAGAAGAATAGGACAACACGATCAAGATGAGAGCAAAGTGCGACGGCGGATCAAAATCTACAGCTCATACACATAAGTATCTCAGATGTAGGAAGGATTGCCTGAGTACCTAGAGCGCTCGGTGCCATCCGGACTGACCGTTCAATTGATCAACCATTGGAGGATCGTGAGGACGATGAGCACTTTCAGCGGAGACATCGAAGGAGTCTCCAAACACCCTTAACCAATAGTCTCTTAACATATACTCTTCATCGGAATATAGATAGTCCAGGAATATTGGATGTACAAAAAACCTTTTTGCTCGGGCTGACCGATATCAAAGGCGCGCCCATAACAGATACTTGCTTGGGCCAAGCATACCTTTTCGGGAACTCGGGAAGACCGCATTCGAGTTGCTGCCAGCATCTTATATTCATGCACCTCGTTTTTCAACGTGGCTCGGGACTTCGTGACGAGGCAAGATCTAATATCTGATTGGAGCGAGACCGAGGGTATTAAGTAGTGAGGATCCTCGCTGACAGTGAAACCAAATTCTATGCCTTAGCTAGAAGAGTTTGAGGGTTTGTACGATTGAATTTTAGCGGTGGATAATGGCAAATCCAGGTCCATATTCACCTGAAAAACAAGATGGCCTTTGGTAAACGGAGACCCACCCATGCTCCGAAGAAACCACTGACCAAGTAATGCTGTCATTTCAGCAGAAGATGAATAGCCGCTGCGACGTGGTTGAAGCAGCGGATCAGTAGTGCCCACTCAAACCAGTCCCAAGACGACGTAATGGATCCCGGTATCGTTTCCCCCGGAAACCTGCGCGCTCCGAGGGCTCCATCGGACTGGCTTTTCGCGAATGAGCTGCCTTTCGGGACGTATCCCTTGTACCGCGACTGCATGCCGGCTGCATGGCTACCTGCGTCGTCCCACCAGGTCAGCACTCGGCTCTCTCATTGGTGGGGTGGCACAAACCTTTCTTCACACCTTCCTCTCTGAATCCAAGCATTTCAAGGAAGGCCAAGAATGGATCCTTTCGGATTTGTGGTTTGTTTTCATCCGTTGCACTCCCTACCGCGACGGAAAGAAGCAGATAGGCGACAATAAAGTGAGCTATAGCTACAGTGGCAGAGCATGTTAGGTTGGATGGATTGCGGAGGAAAGGGTCACGCACGCGTCTCAATGGATATCAGCATAGGCCATTCAGCTATCGCTTCGGATAGACACAACGCTATAGCAGTGTACTTGAAAAGGCCCATTGCTACGTTGGTGTTGGGGAGGAGAAAAGAAATTTGCGTGTTATATGTACGTAATTTCACACCTTGACGTTGCCGACTGGTGGCATCTGCCAGGTGTCCCACGATTTCTAGTGTTCCTTCAGCATGCCTTTCGTAAATGATCTTTACAGGAAGAAATCCAATCGTGAGGTGTCCAATCTCTGACCCAATTATTTCCTTCCCGTAAAGTGTCAGTAATGTGCGACGGGACTTCGTGAGGATGTATATTACACCACTAACGGGGGCGGCCGTACTTCAAGAGAACCACTATAAGCCCGTACAAGATAAGCCATCCAAAAATCCGCCAAATGACCCACGAATGGCTACTGGCTTGTGGACTTCCTGTCTGGTCAATAATGCCCGTCGTCCCATAGGACTGAGTCCTAGAAAAGACGCTGTTTCTGGGTATAAAGCCGCCATAATTTCGTGATTGATATCGGGAAGCAGGAGAATCTGAGAACGAATGAGGGGTCGAACTGAGATGAATGTACTGAATCGAAACGCACCAGCTCTCAGCCCATAACCCTCAAACCCAAGGCAGGTAAGAATTCCCAGGACGAGATTCCGAGGAATAACGTAGAACAAGAAGTAGAACAGATGGAAAGGGAATAAGGGATAGAACGCCCATAGAAGAAGGATCGCGGCGGAGGCGTATGGGTGTTCAACAACTGCAGTCCCTTGGTGAGAAGGTCGACTCTTGATAGATTACTCGGCGCTACTCACGGACCTCGATGAAACCTAGCCAGTAGGACTTTCATGCCTTCCAGGGTTGGAATGCTCGTGCAGATGTGCTTGGTTGCGTCAAACATGGCTAGACAGACTCGTTTCGTGGTGGGAGACATTGTCCAGTGGAAGATGTAACCATACGTCGTGGAGGTCGGAGACAGAAAGGCTGCAACGACGAGTAAGGCTCAGGGTCGAGGACGGCTTCCAAAACACGTAAGCGAGTCCACGAGGGCTGAAACTGGCTGAAAATAGGACCGCAGCGTGTGCTCAAAGGTTATGGATAGTCGCAGTCCTCGGCCGTAGGCCATAGACACATTTAGATCTGGCAAGTTATGACGAAAGTCACAATCGTGTCCTCTAATTAGTAACAGATACCAACACGAGAAGTCACATCACGAGACGGCGCGTGACGCGAACTTGTTGACCAACAATTCTCATCGGCACTGTTGCGGCACTGTCTTAAGTTATCACCAGCCATTATGTCTCTACCTCCAATCCCTGACTTAGAAGCGGCAGCGAAGAAGATAGTATGGGAAGCAAAAGCGAAAGGCAGCCTGAAGTACGCATTTGGTATTATTATCTGTCGTGATTCTTCTCATACCGGCTGTGATACAGGGAATTTACTCCCCGGATAATCAGACAAACGATTGCGAAGCAATTCCAGCTCGAAGAAACAATCTTGGATGAAGGGAAATACAAATCTGCTATCAAGGCCGCTACCAAGGCTGCATTGGTAAGTCCCCACATCCTAACTCAGCGCCGTAATATTTGCTCAATGTTTCTATAAACAAGGACGAAGAGCCGCCCACAGCAGACAATGAGGCCAAGCCTGCTTCCAAGAATGTCACTCCGAAGAAGAAGCGAAAGTCGAACGGGAAGTTGAAGGCTGAAGAAGACGAAGAAGGGAAGTCCGAGTCGGCGCCTACTCCTATGGCGAAGGGAAAGGCCAAAGGCGCACCGAAGAATAAAAACAACGACGACGCGGACGACCTCCCTCGGAAGAAACGGAAGACAGTAAAATCTAAGAAGGATGAATCTGAGTCCGACTTTGACGGCGAGGAACAAGAGAACAGCAAGAAACCAGTTGTTCAAAGTGGGCAGAAGAAGGACAAGAGCTTCAAATCTGCTGTACGTGCTCTACACCGGTCTTGCGCTGTACGATATAGGTTAACTCTTTTCTTCTCAGGAACACGTACCGACTTCAGACATGGAGCAAGACGATCCGGATCCTATTAGCACCGCTGGTCCCTCCACAACAAGCAAGAAGCCAGAAGTAAGGCAGTTCTGGAATCCCAACTACACAGGCCCATCCCAATTGACCCCCTACAGTCTCCTCAACGCAAACGAGCACCAGACTCCAAATCCAAGACAACGCCTGTGAAGGCAAAGGCTGCGAAAGCACAATCGAAGCCAGCATCTTCGAAGGCCAAGGACATCTCAAAGGACGATGTAAGCCGCTCCTCACCCTACATGCTATTCATATTAAAAAGGGGATTTAACTCCTTCCAGGATGCTGAAAAGAGTGATTCTGAACTCTCGGTGCTAACCGACGAGCCTCCCAAGAAGAAACGCAAGTCGAAGTCGGGCGAGAAGGCGAGCTCTTTCTTAGGTCACAGTGATAAATTCGATATACTCACACCTTGCAATATTGTTCAGGAATCGACGAAGAGCAAGCCTAAGGAAAAGAAAGGCAAGAAACCAGCAGTAGCATTGAGCAAAGACGAAGAGACTATTAAACGCCTGAAGGTATGTTCCCTGACTAACTGCCCTTGTGATTGAAAAGAAAAAAGTTCAATTGATACTGCTTCCCAGTCTCTCGTCGTTGCCTGCGGAACCCGCAAAGTCTGGTCCAAAGTCTTCCAAGGGCTTGATACACCACAACAGCAAATCAAGAAACTCAAAGAAATGCTAAGCGAGCTGGGTATGACAGGGCGGATGACCATGGAGCAGGCCAAAGCCATCAAGGAGAAGCGGGAGTTTGAACAGGAGCTACGTATGTGACACTCTTGCCCGTCGGACGGTTGTACTGAATACCTTCTGCGTCCTCAGAGGATGTCCAGCAATTCGCCGAAGCCGTGGCTGGGCGGTCTTCGAGAAGCAAGGCTACGAAAGTGGATGAATCCAAGTCTGAAGAAGAGGATGCTAAGATGTCGGAGGATGAGGACGATGACGAGGAGGTGGCTGCCCCGAAGAGACGCCCAGTACGTGTTTGTGTTTTCGTTTGCGCGACAAGGTGCTAATACATCTCTAGATGAATGCTCGAAAGAGTATCATGGCTTTCTTACAAGACCAGAGCAGCGATGAGGAGTAGAAGTTCCATACTGATAATTCGATTTGAGCGCTATTCACCCCTCCAGTGCACCTTCTGTTCATCTTCCTGCATATTTATTCCCTACATTACCTGTATTTTATCAATGCTTATCCTCATTGCTTCCTGCTCCAACCAGTACCAATTCTTCCCTTTCTCCAGTTCATATTCGACTTTTCACATTGGCTGGACCACCTGGGCTGCCGGTCGCAACTCCCTCTGTTCCTCGTAGTCGGCCCTCAGGTGGTCCTTGAATTCCAGCGACGTGGCGAACGTTCCATCAGACACCAAAGTCAACCCAGCAATGCTCGCCCCACTACCATTGAGAGACCAGAGCGAGAGCGCCAGAGTGTTGGTTGAGCGACGTCGTAAAACGCTATGCCCATTTCGATAAGACAAGAAATAAAACAAAAGATTCATGGAGACTTACCTAGCAGGCAGGACGAAGAGCGTTTGAGGGCCAATGTTATTGACATACTTGCCAAACTGCCACCCATTGATGTATATCTGGACACGGAAGTTTGCTGTTATGTCGCTGGGCGTAATCGAGAGCCGGACAGGCATGTCGATGCCATCAGGAATGTTCTGCGCAGGTCAACGCATCAGCTGTGAGCTCTTGCACGCGTAAAGTACAGAAGACTGACAAGGTCGAACGTGGTGCGATAGAAATTGACACCAGCTCCTTTGACCCCTCCTCCTGCCAGTGGTGTGCCATCTGCCCAGTCTGAATCTGGAAAGCCGGGTAGATGTGCACCAATCCGTTCTGCGTAGAGACCACCTTCGTTGAGGTATCCGCGGTAGGTGTCTGGGTTTTGTGCAGCACCGCCCTAGATGCGCAATTTGGTCATTTGAACAACTTTCGGGCAGGATTTAAATAATGACTGTCACATACTTGGTTTCCTTGCAGCTTCCAGAGGCTGAATGTCGTGTTGCCACCGATGATTTCGTAGCCTCGGAGCCCGCGAGGTTCCTTCCCGTCGTTAGCTAGATTAGATCGTCAGGATAGGTCAATTACATGAAGCCAGCATCGCGACTCACTAAGAGTCTCGACAATGCTACGCATGTCCAATCGTGTGTCAGCACAAAGGTCAGGATACGTATCTATCGCAAAACTCACCCCATATGGTCTGTAGTCACAAGGGCGTTCATTTCAGCTAATCCTATCGAAATCAGATCAACATACCTTGCAAAACTACAAAAACATTGTTGCGTCCTACACGAAGCATACTGGGGGTGATGCTCCAGGTGTCTGTCGTGAAACTGACTGAAATGTTTCCTTGACTAGATCCGAGGAACACCCCATTTAGCCATACAGAGTAACCCCCGGCAAAGCCATATTGGACCGTCGTTACAATGGCAGTTTCTTCGCCGGAAGCGGTGAAGTGGCCGCGGAAGATGAGGTTTCCGCCGTAGAATCTGGGAGGTCGTAGTACGTCAGGCTCGTTATGAGTTGAATATGAAGGCCATGGAACAAACCCGTATTGTTGAGAATACAAAACGCGGTCTCCTGCGAGCACGGGCAGATTCGTGTACTACCCGACTCATTAGGTGGATTTAGTCAATAGAAGAACCCAACGCATACATTCGTGCTCGTCTGGTCGGTCGTAACAAAACTGGAGTCATCGAAGTCTGGATCAATTTCAGGAAGACTGAGGGCAGGTTTCGTCAATGGCCAGCGTCTAAGAGCTCTATGAAAATGGTCTTACCTGCCCGCTACTTTCCACTTAGACAAGATGGGTAGAGATGGCTGAGCAGGTGTGCCAGGTAAGCTCGCCGTCAAGAAGCCATTGGCCTCATTCTTGGAGGTGGATATGTCTTGGTTGTTCCAAGAAATCTTCGAGACTGCTGGTGGCGCAATGGCCGTGATAGGAGTGGTTCCGTTCAAGTCGCCGGTCTATAGACGTGGATGAACAACTGATCTCGAAAAGCATGTTGGACAATTAAAACGTACCAAAGAGAGTGTATCGCCAACAATGGACGCTGTTCGGAGGAGATACGGACCTTCAACAAGGATTCTGCAACAAGGAAATGAGCACTGTTGTGAACCTCGTCTAATGTAATCCTTACGAGCTATTCGTCCCAATCGAGAAGAAACTACCAAAGTTTCCAGGTGCGCTGATGATTGGCGCATGCCAGTTGTTCGCGGTCGCCTTGTCCATGATGGCGATAACGAGCGTCGTGTCTCCATTCTTGACTTCTACGAATTGAGAGCCCCCAGTGACATAGTTGAGCGTAAGCAGGCCCTCCTGGAACTTGGAGGAGACACTCGGCGTGCTGGAGAGGTCGAGAACAGGGTCGGTTAGATGGAAGGCCGTCTCTCCTGATTGACCCGAGGGTGCATAGAAGACGATGTAGTCCTTCGTTCCAATTCTACACCAAACGGTTAAGCCACGCAAGCACTTGAAAATAGCAATACTTACGTGGTCCAGGTCATAATTCTAGATATATTGATGAGCGGAATATCATTTGGGTAGAGAGAAACACGCACTCGGCTGTCGAATACAGTATTTTGGTGTTGTGTACGCCGAAGGTATAATCAGTAACGATGATCTTCGTCTCTCGTCCATCAAAAGTCATGACTCCGGTGGTGGGGATGACCAAGTCGCCAGCGGACGTTGTGACCTTAAGTTGTGTTGTTGTCAACGCTGTGGAGCTGAAAAGTCAAGACCGTAAGTAATTTATCACAATTGACGGGACGAGATGAAGACCATACGTCGAGGCGTTGTGTCGCACAAAGTAGAATGCGGCACCGTTATCCAGGTTTCGGAGCTCAGCTGCGTACATGATGGGGGACGTCGTGTAGTTGGTGCCATTGGCTAAAAGGGTCGCGCCTAAAAGGTCTCGAGCCACTCTGAGGAAGAGACCTAATGCAAAAATAAGTAATCTTCTGCCATGAGAGTTGCACTAAGCCCACCTTGCAGCCTCATCTCGTTCATCTTCGGTCCAGCCACACGATTTTCGTTGATGCCTATCGTCGATTGTCGATTGCTTCAGACATGTCACGGAGGCATAATCAAATAAGACGCCTACCACCACCATAGTCGTAGGACGAATATCTAAGTAGCTGTCAGTTGGGCAAAGGGCCAAAGGGTTCTGATCAACTTACACTGAAGACGCCCCGGTCTGACCCCAATTCGTTCCACCAAATAGCACTGTGTAAATGAAAGTTCAAGCTTGATCGTCGCCAGTCGTCAAATGAATCCTACTATAGACGTCTGAATAGATCGTGTCAGTAAGCAACGACTTCATGCAATACTATGTAAAGAAGACTCACTGAGGATCGTTGCTGTTTGAGCACTGCGGATCGCTTCGTCGGATTTTTTTCTCGCAAAGAAGTCTCAAAAGAACCTACTAGTTTTCCTTGTAAAATACGTTTTCTGCAGTACCGGTCAGAATTCATTCAATCAATCGCGCATGCCAAAGACATACGGAAAGTGGCATCCGTGAGGCCGTTGGCTAAATTTCTTGTGAAATCTAATGGTTTACTGGGATTGAAGATGAAACTCACAATATCTCTCATAACCTGTCCCACCGCGGGCAACCTGACCCCAGTTGATAAGATAACCACCGCCAAACTGTGGGTCGTCTTAGGGGATCACCAACACTGGGGTAGTGGCCGGAGCACGCACCTCTGCAAGACAAAGAGGGTTGCTTGGAGCGACGGCCACGTGGTTGGAATAGTAGATAGCTTGAACTTGAGCCCAGCTATTTCGACCTTGCGGGTAAGAATCGGCACTAGAGAGAAAGGTAAGTAATTAGGCTGAGAACTCGAGCTAGTTTGGCCTTACCAGTGTATATCAACTTTTGTTCCAGGTCTGTCTGGGGAGTAATTTCCATCCCGACCTGCATGCACATCATTATGGAAAATTGCTGGGAAAATACTGTTAAATGTGATAATGCAGCGCAGAACGAAGACTCACGGACGACGATGCCATTCGCTCTGTACAAGTCGATGATTGCCTGCATGTACGGGTTGTTGTTTTCGCTTGCACTGTACTCGTTCTCAGCTTGTACGAGGATGACTTAGAGAGGAAACAATCGTGTAAATAAGCACAGTCGAAAAGGGGTGAAAGTCCTTACTCGGGCCGCCATTTGTGATTTGGTTTCTTGCTATAATTCGCGAAATAACGGTCATGTAACGCGGCCAGGCTGCATGATTTATAATCAGTTGGTTTCAATGGACAAAGCCTTCGAAGAAAAGTCACAAACTTTGCATGTAATTAGGGTTGTTCGTCCGAAGGGGGCCAGCAATGTTGCCAACCCAACCAGGGAAACCACCGCCACTAGTTTCAGCATCTAATTCTTCCCCATCAGCATTTCTGGCAACTCGCCATATAACAATGAAATACTTACTAACATACGGCCCCGGTCTAAGATAGGATAGAAGTCAGCGTTCTGAAAGAAGCAAGTCCGAATGAATTAGTTACTTACCTTGCGAGCATCCACAAACCCGCCTTCTTCCCTTCGTCAATGAACCGTTGGATGTCTCTGTAAGTCCCTGGCTCGAAGTCCCCATCACCGTTGTTCGCATCTGGAGTTGGGTAATGCATGGCCCAGCTGACATAGAACGAAACGGCGTTGAATCCGTTGGCCTTGATCTTTTGGAAAACGTCGCCCCAAAGGTCAGGGTTGCCTGGGAGCCTCCATGGATGGACCTCAGCAGAGAGGATGAATACGCGTTGTCCATGAATGAACAAGGAGTGCGAGTCCCAAGTAACAGCATCAGTCAGGCCAGTAGAGGCACGACTGACGTGTGGGTGGAGCAAAGCTTGAACAGCTAGCGCGCACAAACCCAGGAGCGAGAGAAGACTTCTCAGCATCGCTGCAAAATGGAGAAACTTAGTTCTTAAGATAGTTCAGCAGCCATTTTATATCTCGTCGAAGGCTTGTCGCTAGCGCTCAGAAGCTTTGGCATGCAGTCGATGAGCAGCTGACGAGGGACGGCGGGTCGCGAATCCCCAAAAACCACCGCGAGAAGAGAATATCTGGCGGTCCGTCTCTCCCGCCCGGAGCCCTGTGTTGGTGCGAAGCACGCTAGAACATCGGTAGATCCTCCAGAAAAGCCGGATTACGAGGCCATTTGGTGCTTCGACTCGCTTTGCCCGGGTCATGCAGTGTTTTCGCGTCGAAGTTGTGTTCGCGTCCTGCGTCGCACCATGGTCAGGCTTCAGATCTCAGAGCTCGCGTGATCTTTTGTTTGCAGGTTTTTCGACGTTGATGTTGAGGGTCCACAACCCCAAGCAACTTCTGGACGAATTTCTTAAACGCATGGAGATGTGATGGGTAGGGGAGGGAGGGCTTGATCAGTGGTAGTGAAGTGGTCGTTGAGAGTCAAGTTATGTAAGAAGGCTCAACCAACCTTGGAGCGGAGTTTGCCTGATGTCTCTCTCAACACACACCACCATAAGCGGTTCGTTCTTCCCTTTCCTCTGTCATTCCCGCATGTTCTCCGACTAATCTCTTTCTGAACAGGTTTCTTGCTACCTTCGATTCACTCTGCTCCACCGTTCTTCACGTCAGATCGCTAGTTGTAACGATGATTTCTCTGCAACGCTAATGCGAACAATCTAGAGAACAACCAAACCCAACGACACAGTCTATTGCGACGGAGCAATGGATCCGTCTCATACTATCTTACGCCCGCCATAGAAAGCTCTTCGTTCTCCGTGTTGAGGACGCCGAAACAACAGACGGCGACTGGGAAGAGATCCTGCGGAATGACCGAATAAACCGTGAGGTCTTTCCTCGCCTTTCCCAACCATTGAGCTGAAGGCTTTGTTCCTAGGCAAGGTTCTACCTGGTCATCTGTCGAACTTCATGAAGGTCATGGTGGAGAGAAACCTGGCCGGATATGAACCTCCAAGGCAGATGCGATCTGTCCTTGTGTATTGGAGATTGCCAGAGGAATGGGCAGAGGTCCTCTATGATTGGGTATGTTCCGATCGTAAATAAGCAGCGTCATTCAGTCAGTATTGACCCTTTCTTATCTCCAGGTTGTTTCGAGTGGACAACTAAGCACAATCTTGACATTTTACGATATCACGGATCCCCCAATAGAATCACCGTTGACGAACATACCCATTCCCCTGCTGCGCAAGGCCATAGCAATTCTGGGCAAAACAGGCCGCTCTCAGCTGATCGCCATCGCTGATGGAGAAGGAGTGCGGTTTCTGCCTAGGTCGAAATAAACGCTGTTGGGTTTTCGCATCGACTTGTATTATAGTTGATTAGTCTTCAGATAAGATGAGCTAGTTCTTGAAGAAATTCGAGTCCGCGATGAGAGAATTCAGTTTGAGTAGCAATACAGTGTTGTTGAGTGTGCACATCTAGCTGTCTCCTCGACCAAGCTTATCCAAAGCCCTGACGCCTTGCTCGAACCACTCTTCCCGAGACACCCAGAAATCCTCCCGGCCTTTCATGATATCAGCAAGCACAGCGCCTCCAAGGAACACCATATGTTTGCGGCGAGGAGGATCCTCAATCTTGATTTTGAATTTCTGTTGATGAGGGCATTACCGTCAGAAAAGACCCAAAGAAGAAAGAATAGACGCACGTTCAGCCGTGTAGGGTCGCCATTTAGCAGACGCGTCAGGTGAAGCTGCTTGATCTCCTTCTCTAGACGACTTGGCAAGCCTGGGTACATACTTGACCCTCCAGACAACACGATGTGCTTGTAGAGATCAGAGCGAATATCGACAGCAGCAGCTTGGATGGTTTGGAAGAGCATTTCTATGCGCGATCAAACCAATGAGATTCCACATCCCGTAGTGCACTAGGCGCGGATATGGCGAACTCACCTGCAACACCAGGTTGTTCAACGTCCACTAGGTGGGGCTGGAACATGCATTCGGGAGCCTCGTAGCGTTCTGGGCCAACTTTGATAACTCGTCCATCTGGGAGCTGCCGAATAAGATGAGAGAAGTCCAGCATGAAAAGTCCACGACGCACTGTATAGCTCTCAACAAGGACCGTCGTCTCCTCCGCCAATTTCTTATCTTGTTCCAAGTCGTAGCTGCAGTACAATCCGTAAGATATCTCTTGTTGAAGGAACAAGGAGATTGCTCGAACCTGACGTAACAAAGTTTCTCCTTGATCTCTCGCACAGTTTCGAAATCCGCTGTCCGGTTGAATGCATATCCTCTCATAAGGAGGAGCTTGATCAGGTATCTTGTAACATCTCGTCCAGCGATATCCAATCGACGGGTTAGGTGAGGCATAGCGAATCCATCATACACCGGCACAATGTGTGTTACACCATCTCCGGAATCGACGACAACGCCAGTGGTAAGACCTAGCAAACGCGCATCGTAATTAAATTGGACGGATGAGCGTAGACTGGACACGCACCTTGCGCATAGAGTGTCAACACGGCCTGGATGGCGACATACACTCCCTGAAAGCCATACTCCTCAAACATAACTTGACACATTCTCTCTCTGTTGACTCTTGGGTTCATTGGGGGTTCCGTCAACAAGACCTTTCTTCCTTGAGGGTTGATCTTCAGCTTCTCATCGAAGGTGTAGTCCCATAGATGCTTCATGTCCTCCCAATTCTTCACAATGCCGTGCTCCATGGGCTGCGTCACTTGCAGATAGTTGCGGTTCGCAGCGGCTTCGTCGCCGATCATGATGTCCTTGATGACTGCGGACCCAACCCGTTCCTCCGCGCGTAGGATGGGACGACCGACGATGGAAGGAAAAACTGTGCATGTAATAATATAATAGCGTCCCCAACAAATATAAAAATTGAACGAACCATGCTCAGGGAAGTTCGATCCAGCGTACCCCACTTTCACGAACTGCGCGTGTTCGCGACAAGGAGATCAAGGTGTCAGGAGTGGTTAGAGAGTCTAGAATTGGCAAGCTTACACCTGTACCATTGTCGACAACCAAGGGTAGCTCTGTGTTCATCCTATGAGGGCAACGATAAAGTCGAGGATGTTTAATGGAGGGCTGTTCCTGTTTCCGCGGTCGACTGTAATCACAATGTTTGCGAAGATTTGGCTGCGCCCTCTGTCTCAGTTCTCGGCATCTTCGGCGGTGGACGCTTACTCAGACTTCGACAAATCCTGCTGAGCGCTACCGCAATTGGCGTACCTGAACGGAGGCCTAATCAGTTGTGACACTCATACAGCAAGTTGCATACATTTATTACTGCAATTATATATTCTGGAAAATGAGATATCCGTAGTAGCTATAAGAAGTACACAGACGTTTCCGAAAGCAAGACAAGAAACAGCATGAATGCAAGTGTACGAAAACGAAAGCAATTTGAACTAAATAATTTGAAGTAAATATATGTGCGTTAGTCCACCATCGACTTAATAAATGCGTGGAAGTGTCGTCCACGGTGGAGAGGAACAAAATATTCTCGAAAACTGATGTTGGCGATGCTGAAGCAAGAATGAGAAGGGTATGATTCGTCCACACATACAAGTATAAGAACTGAATTACTCACGTTGCATTGTCAGGAACAAGCTCTAACCTTCGAAATATCGTGCCTATGATGAGGTAGAGTTCACACCATGCAAGGCTACCAGGGAGACCAATTAGCAGAATGATCAGACTTCCTGAATGTAAAAAAAGCGTACTTTATACCCAGGCAGCTTCGCGGCCCCTTAGAGAAGGACACGAGATATTTTTCGAGCTCCGAGGAGTCATCCTGCATCCACCGCTCCGGTTTAAACACAAGAGGTTCCGGAAAGACATCTGGATTTTTGTGCAGGATTGTCGACCCCATCGAGACCACGGTCTGCCGTAGCGTCAGAAACAAATCGAAAACTAAAGGAAAGAAAACATGCTCCAGCAGGGATGAATTCTCCAGATATAACAGCGTCCGTGGGTCCTACGACCCGCGGTAGAGGGGTCACGACGCCATGGGCCATCCTCAGCGACTCTTTGATGACAGCAGTCTCGGTAATAAGGGACGTGAGTCTAGTGACGGATTGAGAAAGATACCGACTTACAAGGTAAGGAATTTTTTCGAGCCCCTCGAAGCTAGGCGAAGCGTCTCTGTCGGGCCATGCCTCCTTCAGCGCCGTTAAGAGCTTATGGTGAATGCGTTTGTCATTCAAGATGCGATATGTCGCTACTGTGCAGACATTTCCAACCGTATCGCTTCCAGCGAAGCGTAGATAGAGGCCTTCGTCCAGGAGCCACTCGCGTGTGACGGGAGGAAGGCGCTGGTTTTCAGGCTGTGGCGTCAGGAAGTGATGGTAAATTGTTTCATGCTCGATGTTGTGTAGGGATGAAGGGTCCTTCATTATGTCGTCTATCTGCGACCCCATCTGTTACGTTGCTCAAGGATGCCTTTGGTGCTCGGCCTCAGGATCGAAGCAAAGCATTCGGGCACATTGAGCAACACCGCTTTGATGAGGGGGAAGTGCTTGAAGATCCAGATCATGGGGAGAGTCTGGTCCATAGCGTCGAGGATCGGATTTTGAAAGTTGTCAGAGTTAGGAAAGTCGGAAGACTTGGAGAAACAGTAGGAAGTAATGATATCGAGACTTGTTGAACGGAAGGCGAGGTCCAGATTGGCGGACTTCTTCGTGTCTTGAAATTTGAGAAGTCGGGAGACCAAGAGATCGATCTGCAGAGCGTATTCCAGTCATAATAGTGAACTTAAATGGAGTGAAATAAACGAATACCCTATTCTGTACCGTCTTCTCGAGATTGAGTATGGCGCGCCTCGAGAAAAACGGTCCGATCAAATTTCGGCGTTGCATAACCTCATGGTGGTCGAACATAGCGAAGACGGAAAGGTCGGTGGCGAAACACGAATACATCTCTGACTGTTTGGTGTGTCGCGTTCCCATGCCGTATATGTCGTTGTAGGCTTGTGGATCACTGAAGTGGAGCTATCGCCAAAATAAGCGCCCGTCGGCGATAGCCGAAGCCACGGAGTGCGCACCTCGTTCGGCCCAACTCTGACTATTTTGCCTAGAGACCGGACGGTCAGCACAGTGAAAAGAAAGAGGATGAGACGATGCACCGTATTGTTGATGCAGAGCTTCGAGATGCTCCGCCCATCCGCCATCCTTGACGATATCGTAGTAGGCCTTGTACCACGTCGTAAGCGCAGCCAGCGGTGGTCCAGGATATCGCGACAGTGAATTATGGCGACGTAGCCGATTCAACGCACGGCAGACAATGAACAGCAAGAAAGCATGTAGAAGCGATCGCGGCGAGAAAGCTGGAGCGAAGCATTTCTTAATGGCTATGCCGAGGGAGAACTTGGGAGAGATGGTGGGGGCGCAGAGGAATGGTCCATTCTGTGGATCTGAGCTTTTCAAACGAAGACTAGAGGACCGCTCACAATGTTGGCCCGAAGGCGCACGTTTTAGGACCGCACAGACTTTGTTACTATTGGTACATGACAAATCCAATCGCGATCCAGCTCGAATGTTCACCATTGCGGTGGCGTGCTATGTCCACATCCATCTTTTCGTGTGTAAGATGGCAGCGGACTAAGTTCAGGGAATTCCCGACGCTCACGCATCCATGGTACGCTATGCATTCTGGGGCACATCCTTTCTCACATTTGGTAAGGAGTTCATGGAGGTGGTCGCGACTTACCATTTCAACGACCCTGTGACATACACAAGCGTCATTGCGAAATCAGCGGTGGTTATGGCTTCTGAGAGCTCGCGGATAACAAGATCCTTCAGGTGACCAGCGACGGAAATAAGTATGGGCACGGCCGAGTGCTTGTTTGGTGGATGATGGACTGGGGACTTATTTGCCGACCATCGGACTAGGGCCGCGGGATGCAGCTCATCGCTGTCTACTAACCATAACAAACCATAACAGGACGAGGCGAATTATCGCAAAAATACATTCTTTCAGTCAGGGCTAGATGCTAACCGCTGTATCAGAAACCACGGGTATCGCCGTGTACGTACGTGGTAATTCTACTCAAGGTGAAAAGGGAGACTTTACTGCAGGGTAGAAAGCTTATACGGCGATTTGACTTGGGTTTGAGAAGGTTATGCGCCCCATTCATCCATTGATCGATGGTCGCAGTGTTCTGTTGGATTTGCTAGACCACAACGTTATACGTGTCCTTGCAGGTTGTCTGCAACTTCTTGTTGTCGATTCGGGATCGATTTGATATCTCCAAGGATCGGCCCTAGTTGAATATCAGAAGAATGATTATTTAATTCCATACCTCCTTTGCATTGCCTGCGACGTAAGGACAAATACGGTTAATGGGATTTCACGTTGTGGGCGCCGTGGTTGAACAAGACGTCAACTGTCTGTGCGCGACAAATGGAAACGCCTGTTCTGTAATCCGTACACTATTGGACATCTGATCACCGACCCTTAAGACGTGGCGCGTAAGCGGAATACTATTGCAAACGTGCGCCTGCCTGACAATAATATAATTTACTAAAAATTTTGGTCCGGTGCCTGCTGGTACCCTTAGATATTTGAGATTCGTGAACTTACAAAGTATGTTGTGTCCTCTTGATAGTCCAACGACCCATTCCTCAAACCCTGCTGCACTGTAATCCCGAATGAATCAATGGGAGGTTTGCAATTTGTCGCTTATGTCCCAAAACTGGCGCGTCAATCAGTGGAGAAGACGAAAGGGGGGGAGATGTTTATCAGTGCATGCAGTCCCCAGTAGTCGACCTTGAGCGCAGAATCTGCGTCGTTATTGCGGTTTCACGTGGAGAGAGTTAGGCAGGCTTGGATTTATTTATGTTATCCCTACATCGGGTTACCCGCGCTTCCCAACCTCCGGAACACGCAAGGAGAAGCCTGGGGGGTAGGGTCAGAACGTTCTCGATAAGGAACCCTCTGTGGGTGGCCCGTTCGTCTAATTCCTAGGATAGATCTAGTTAGAAGGGGTGAGCCACGAAGACGGTAAGGTCGCGACGATGAAGACCCACCTGAGGGTACAGCTCGTCCTCCTTGGTTGGGACATTATAACCGGGCTCAAAGAACAAGATCGATGCGTAAATCATAGCTCACCGGGCTCAAGGCTCTTCTGAGTTCTGGGAACGAGATACCTAGAAAGGGAGACGTAGGTACTGGCTTATCAGCAACGGTGGCATATGGGTAGCATTCCGTCCTAATAGACCGAAGAAGGCTTAGCTGTGAACTTGAAATGTAAAGGGCTGGCGCAAAGATGGTCTGCGTGATTGGCCTTTGCTCGTTTTGTAGAAAGGATCCCGCGGGGAGAGTTGCAACTATGTCCAATAGACATAGCACCGGTGTCTCAATGCAATCGTATAGGCATCTGGGCGTCCATGTCTGGATATCGACTATCGCAACGCTCGTTATCAATTAATAGACACCATAAGGCTCGAAGGCGGATGTACGGCGTGAGATGGTGATTCTCTGTGGACTCGCAAGACATAGCCATGGAATCTGGCCATGCTACTCCTGCTTCAACTGGGAATTCAGTCTTGACGTACCTCGGCTTGGTCGATTGAAGTCGTTGTGGTATTTAGAAATCTCCGTATCAACTATCAGCGTTCTTGAGATCAGAGCTTGGAGAGCGGGCGCACCTCTGGTTGAAGGTTTCCGGAGGCATTGAAATACTTGCTTGCTTTGAACACCTGGGTCATGGTTCGAGAAGTCTTTCGGCCTTGAAGCTTTGAAGATTCAATGCTTGAAGAAACACTAGTAATTGTTTGGGATTCTGGGAAGGTGGATAATGGTGCTGACATAAGACAATGTGTAGGGCGGTGGGAAAAGCAGAGTGTTGAGAGTTTTGTCGCTGTTAGCACAGTTCTCACTTCCTTCTCCTTGGTCCTTCTTTTCCCCCTCATTTCCACCCTCATTTCCGCCTCAGACGCCCAGGTCTGTAAAATAACGACTCACTCACGACAAACACCCGCGACCTGGAAGCATACTCCATGGCACAAGCTTTATTTGACGAACACCCTCTTGGAGAATACCTGCGAGGTAAAACCTTCTAGCAACGCGTCGGCGTCATTTTCACTCATGCTTTACGTCCAGATGCTGGCGAGACTTCATTTTCAATACCTGGGATAACGTCCGACATCGAGAGAGAGATTGACGCATTCTATGATGTGGCGGAGGAGCCTTGTGAAGAGGTACAGGTTGACTGGTGTCCTCCAGTGTTGTCAGAGTTTCTAGAGGTCAGTTTCAACCTTTTCTTTACCCCTTTACTTCACTTTTGTGTGAGAGACACGCCTCACAATTGCACCGCCTTCCCCACATCCGAAAGCAAGTGAGGTCATTCGGATTTCGCTGGTTTCCAACACTCTCCCGTCTGTGATTGGCTTTGGAGTAGCTGGGAACTCTCTATGGCGGCTGTTATGAGCTTCGAGCAACGTCCCATTATCTCCGCACGCTCCATCCCAATCGAGTGGGAGCGCAACGATGTTCGCATCATGTCCCATAGTCACTCTCGAGAACGACACAGTCCGTTATATCATGGTTCCCTTTACCAAGGAAGCGCGGCTCGGCGTGTTACCTCAGGCTTGGAAGCCACTTTTGCCTTTGGGGAGTCATGACTGTAGGCACCTGGCCACTCCATGTCCACGCTCCAACACGACGGAAGGCGTCCGGGGCGCAGTAGTTGCGGCGCAGTGTTGCCAGACAGCTGAGGTCTTCCAGATCGTTCTTCACTGGCATTGCCACTTGCCTGAAACTGTGTGAAGGATGGCGAATGCTGACCCATTTTCGCTCTAGGTTTTGGAATCCATTATCTCGTCAACAGCGCACTCATCGCGGAAACCCAGTCCATTCGTGGAGCGATTCAAGTACAACGTGATTTCGTCCTCACTGCTGGCACCCTCTCTCCCAACGCCCCACCCGGGGCGACCATCCCGAACTTTCCACATCCCAGGCAGACTTGGTCATAGTCGAACGCCCAGCCTTGAAACCACGCGCCCAACATCTCCTCCTCCTGCAATCTCTTCACAGGATTCGTCTTACGGTGCCCTGAGCGCCACAGTTGCGTCAACTGTCATATTTTCCAGCATTGGATTCTCCAGCCTCGCCGTCCTATCTTTATTCGCAACCATTATCCTGATGTACAAGCACATGTATACGACTGAAACGCCCAAGCACGATCTCACTTCTGTACGTCAAATGCTCCTTCCACCCTTCTATTCTCTGACCTCAGGTAACAGTCGTTCAATGCCCTTGATGACCTGATTGTCGCCAACACTACGTGGGACGCCGTTGTCCAGGACGCCGTAACGTTTCTGGATAACGAAGAGCGCAAGTACGTGTTGTGCATTCGCCTCAAACAATTAGACTAATGTTTGTTTTAGTCTCCACACCTCGACAGGTCCATCATCACCCTCTCCCATTCGCGTCGCCCTTCATTCCTCTCTACAAACTACTCACACACAATGTGACAACATTCGCCATCTATTTTCAGCTCTAACATCTCCCACAGAACTATCACAGCTCTCAGAGATGTATGCGCCACCATCACCTATGAAAACGGGCTTCGCTCCAGAGGGCCACTCCCGTCCGCTGTCGTATCCTCTACGTTCACCAACCTCGCCTGCTCGTACCCCAGAGAGCAAACGCTCGACTTGGAACGGCTCGTATTCAAGCCTTGCATACGCCGGAAGTCCGACGAACCCGATGTACAGAAGACGAGACAAGCACAGAGCCAACCTCTCGGACGTGTTCGAGACAAAGAGTGCTCCTGTGACACCCTTGCTTGATCCTTCAGCAAGTCGTCTTTCCGAAGTCCCAGAGGACCAGCCAATCAGCAGTGTGTCAACCTCTTTTTCACCAATGACCAACAACTTTGGTTCGGCGGCACTGGAGATCCAGCGGAAACGGAAAAGTGGAGGCATGGACTTCCTACGGTCACCGCCTTCTGCGAGTTACTCGCTACCTGAATTACGCAGCCCTCGAAGATTCTCGTCAACAATCACCTCATCATCGAAATTCACCAGTCCTCAGTCGGGTCGCCATCCACTCTCGTATTCAGCTCTGACATACTCTCTCCAAGGAGCTTTGTCCGCCAAGAGATATACGTGTTCACACCTTCTCGCTCTGCGCTTCTCGGAGGAAGACGACGAAGGTTACTGGGAGGACGTCCGGAGTGTGATGGGCTTGCTGACTAGTGCCCTTGTGGACGCGTCGTCAAGACTTGCAGAAGCTCTTGACGAGGTCGAGCACCAGAACTTGCGCGATCAGAACCCTACGCCCAACAGAACCGACTTCGTCGATGGCGATATTGACCCAATGGAGGGTCTTGAGAGGGAGAGTCCGCCGAAGCGACAGAGCAAGATATCTTTCGCCCCGCTGCCAAGCCATATCTCGCGCTTTGCGGCCCACGTCGCTGCTATCGAGTCAGCATTGGACGATGCTCGAGAGAATTTGGAGCAGTGTGTTGCAGCTATTAAGGAGGGTCCGGTGTCATCTACACCAACGCCTTCAAGAACCCTGCGGCATTCGCGGTCCTTCTCTCGCATGTTATCACCTCCAAATGCGAACGAACTAGAGCAAGAGGAGCACGAAGCACTGCAAGCCTACGAACGCCTTCGTAGAGAGCTGGGTTTGGCGCTGCGAGAGTGCGAGAGAGGCCGAGAGCGTTTATTGGAGATCGTGAAGCCCGCTGTCGCGAGCGACGACGAGGAAGAGTTCGACGACGTCCCTGGCCTCGCACACGACGCAAGTGCAAGTGACGATTCGGATAAGCCCGACCCAACATCCCCGGCCTGGGACGACGAAGCAGTGGTCGCAGCCGTCGCAGATGTAAACCAACTAGCTACTCCCGATGCGGAGAAGGCATTCGTGGACGATGCCAACCCGCATCTTCTTCAAACGACGAGCGCGCAGCATCTACCCCTACCTGGCATCGAAGAGGTCTTCGAGGCTGACACTGGCGCGAAGGCCACCTTCACCCGCGAGCGGTCGAAGTTGTCGAGAGAGGAGCGGATCCAGCTCGCCAAAGCGCGGCGAGAGAGTGGGATGGGTCTGGGTATCGACCCAGTAGATGCGGAGGATGGTAGTGGAGAGAAGCCGAAGATGGGAGGCATTGAGAAGTGGGGTCCGGGCGGCGATGTCGTGGAGGAGCTGAAGGACGTCATTTGGAAAGTGGGCGAGCGCAAGAGGCGGATGACGGTCTCGGTGCAGGCTGCACAGCAGACACTCAGACCGACACAGAGCCGGACGTTGATCCAGAGCAGCATCCCCGAGTCGCTCCTCGAGAGTTCATGACACGAAGGTGTTCATGACCTCTCCCTCTCTTGATACTCTGGTCCATTCGTCTCTGGAAGAGGGGAAGAGTGAGAGGCAGTTTCTTTTCTCTTTTCTCTCTATTTGATACCACACAGTATTGTTATCGTTATGCATATATCCATACACACGCACATCCACTCTTTTCTATTTACCCCTACCCTACAAAAGGAGACATGACCCAATGGGCGCTTCTGGCGCTCTGGGTCGTGCCCGACTAGCATATAGAAAACCACGATCGCTACAACACGCTTTTTCGCATTTCTTCACGCAACCTAATATCCTCTTCCGTACATACATATACCTATCAGCATCTGATATCTAGTACTTGATTTTGTAATGTGGGTTGTTCGAAATCATTTTGGTTCAGCCAGTCAGGTCAGGATCGTTGGTTCATTTTGAGCTCAATTATTGGCCTTTCTGAGATACGGGAGGGCTATTTTCTGGTCATGTATCATGAGTATGCTCACCGCCCAAGGAAATGGGAAAGCATCGAAGCCTTCACCCATTCTCGCGGTAACGGTGCTCCGAATCCAGTAATTGGGATACCAAAAGAGGTTGCTTGCACACAGATATAAAAACGCTAGAGTACTTGTGTCTGTAGGCATACGCAAAGAATTCCTCTCCACCTGCATATCCGTCGGGTGCCTTTGGTCTGAACGCCCACAATGGCGCCCTCCCAGGCCCCTTGTTGCAGACTCCAGAGCTCTCCAGAGCCAACACCTCTTCTTCTTCGAGGCATCGCGTCGTACGAGATCCCGACGCCCGGTGACAAGGACGTCGTCCATCTTTGACGCCACACACCATTTCAACCTCACTTGCCACTTTCACCCGTCTCTGTACGCGTCTAAGTAGCCCAGGCTGCTGCAGGAGTCATCTGCCGAATGCGCGCGTGTTCTTGCTGTTCCTTCCTTCTGTCTCTTCCCTCTTGCAGGGCTAGAAATCTGAGACTCCTTACAGTCAGTAAATGTATTACTTACGAGGAATCATACTCGCGAGTGCCCCTCTGGCAGTGGCGACATACTTATTATAGAGGGTTTTCCCGGTTGGAGGTCTCCGAGTGTACGAGCAGATGCAATGTATACAGGAAAGTCTTTCAATGTCTAATTCCAGGCTGTGAGACAGCACTGCTTCCAGCGTCGAGATAACGCTTCTGGTTGAACACTGCTGGCCATGGAGCCTTAACATCTATCATCCTAGCAAAAGAGAAGCATGCTATGCAAACGTTCCTGCTGATGAGCATCATGAGCAGCACAGCAGGTATAGTGAGTTAGAGACATTCAATAGGCGGAAAGGTCGGCACGATGGATCCATGGGTTGTATAGTTATCATTGAGCTTTTTTGAAGGCATTCAAAATCGATCACGATATCAGCTTGTACATCCAACTAACTTTAGGTGTATGTAGTCCAAAGCATCTATTCATCAGGAACTGTCGACTGCAATCAAGGTATGCATTGCGGCTGTACTATCCACTACATCATCAGCGGAGCGAAGATGATGGTTGGTGAGTAGTTGTGAATCGGTTGGATAGGCGGGTGCCTTCGAGGCTCTAGAGGCTAGAGCGACGAGACAGGGGTTTGGACAGAGAGTGAGCGCGCAATTTGCGAAGGCCCCAGAAAGAGTTCCTTGAGTTTGATCAAGCAGACAATAGAACGGGTGAAGGGTGGAGAATGGATGCAGAGATCTGAATGCGCTGATGCGACCCATTGAGTGACGCAGGACGGGGATAAGAGTAGGTATGGTTCGAGAATCGAGAGCCTGAGGAAGACGAGAGAACTCGAGAGAAGCTGAGAGCCCGAGATGGTCTTCGAATGCCCTTGAATGAAATCAGAATCGACAATCACTGATGCATGCGGTCCTTTCTGGTCCCGATCAGGCGATTTGTCAAGTTTTTTCCGTCAAGTTTTGGCCGACATTTGATCTACAAAGAGGTAGACGAGGACAGCGTCGGATAGAGATTTCACAGCGGGCTTGGTTGAGATAAAGTAATTAGAGGACGAGTTGAGAACGGACTGAGACGCGTATGAGCCGAAGGAAGACGTGTTGGGATCAATCAGAAGGTGGTCACGTGTTCTCGTTCGGCTTGGCGGCGACTGGGAGTAATGTTTCCGCGAAATTCGCACGGCCGCCTCACAACGCTCCTTTGCCTGTTGCCCTTCTCCCTCCCAACCCCGAAGACGAGCTCAAAAAAACGACTCTCCGCCCCTCCTCCGAGCCGGCACCCACATTCTTTTCCACCCACTCTCTTTCTCCCCCCATAGACGCCCCCAGCTCGCTCCGGGACGCTGGTATCATCAACGAGCAACACGCACAATACCGACGCACCCGTGCAATAGATATGACCTACCTGCAACACCGCAATGCAGCTGCCCACCGCTTGATCATCGCCCGACAGGAAACCGGACTTCCAGGAGGTGTTGACGTACCCGACACCGGAAGTGGTGACGATGGGGACACCGGAAACGACGGCGGAAACGGAAACGGAGGAGGCAATGGAGGGGGCAATGGCAGCCCAATCCCTTCTCCCCCCATTCCCGACACCTCTCAGCGTGAGTGTTTTGTAATGATTTTCTTCTCGACGGTGTTCCCCATGCGACCACCCTTTCTCTCTTGTTCTCAATCAATTATTCATCATTCTAACCGTTGTTGTAGCCCCAACATCGTCGTCCATCCCTGTTCCCCCCACCTCAACCTCCCGCCCTCCTACGAGCAGCAGCACCCCCCCACCCAGGACCACCCCCACTCCCACTTCTACTTCGCGAACCAGCACCAGCACCACTACCAGCAGTAGCAGCAGCAGCGCTTCCTCTTCTTCCTCTTCTTCCTCCAGTGCTTCGAGTACCTCTTCTTCTGCTGTCAGTCTCCTATTCTTGCCTTCACTTATAGCAAGCCTAACCTTGCCCTCTTCCAGCGCACCACCACGACCCCTGTTGCTGGTCTTGTCAACACGTCCACAACCCGCCAGACTAGCTCGTTCCGCTCCGTGACCCCAACAGATGTCGACAGCGCTGGCTCCACCGTTAGTGCTAGCGCCGTTCCGGAAGCTACTTCGGGTGTCTCGACTGGTTCAATTGTTGGCGGTGTCGTTGGGGCAATCGCTGGTATTGCGCTCTTTGGTTTCCTTATCATGTTCTTCCTTGTACGTCCCTGACTGACTCCGAAATCCTCCTATCCCCTCACTAACCACCTCATGCCCTCTAGCGCAAATGGAGGCGCCAGCGCCGCTATGCTGCCCGCCACGAGTCCGACTTTGGCACCTTCAGGCGTTCCGCATTCGTGTCTGACAAGTCGGGTGCCAACACACCCGACATGGCCGAACACCCAGGACACAACGTCGCGCCTTCGATCTCCAGCGCCGTCGGTACTAACATGGCAGGCTACGGCGCCACTGGCATGACCACCGCGACACCTCCTTCGCAGGCTCTCGCCGCAGCGAACAACAACACCTCGGCCACAAGCCCCCTCCAGGAACGCCCCAAGTACGTCTACGGCCAGGACCCGACGCCAGCGACCTCCGGAAACAACGCTGCTATCGAAGACGACCTTAGCGACCACGCGCACGGCGTCTACAGCACGCAACCCCAGGTCCAAGCAGCGTACAACCCCGAAGCCTACGGGAGCTACGCCAAGTACGAGGACGGCACCGCTACCGGCACCGCGGTCACCACTGGTAGCTACCAGG